TGAGAACATGTAAGGCCATATGAGGTCATCCAAGGTTAATGACCCATATTGCCAATAGCGGAAAGACTAAATGAGCGAGTGTAGCGGGTGCCACCACCTCCTTATCATGTTTGGGAAGCTGACTACGTATAATTGATATGCCAGCGTGCCTGTTCTCAGCTCTTTTTTTACAAATGGATTGCCCAGCGTCGAAGGGAGTACGTGAAATGTATGCCACTCCTATGCGATCTCGAGTGCCTGTAGATGCACAACATACTATTTCTGACCTCAGAAAATCGTTGTACTTGTTACATAGATCAGGCCAGCACTTCAAACTTTTTCAGTTGGTTAGTTTATAAGTTTGTCCTAAATTAACCTCAGCCGACCTCTAGGTCAGCATAAAATGGTGTTTTTGTGTCTAGAATACTTGTGATTCACGGCTTCAACATACATATGAATTAAACTCAAACGTACATTGAGAAAAGTACCGTTTCTGCAGGCTACCGGTGGACCAATTTTGAACAGTGACCTGATGTGATCCAACTTTGTGGGAAAACCAGAAAGAGCCGGGGGAGACGCCGCGCAATCTTAACGTTTATTTTTGTGCCCTCAACATCCGTTTTGACGAGTAAACATATGCTTTAACTGCATCTATCTGAACAACCGTATTTTGATGTCGTGATCTCTAGTGGCCTTACATTTGACCCAAGGCCAAAACTTTGGTGTACATTCTTCATGGTTTGGTGAGGCTTTCACAGCGGTATTTTTGTTTTGTTTTCTCGTGTGACGTCTGGAAGTTGAGGGTCGCAGGGGAGAAGTCAACTTCCTTCGGTCGGGCGGGGTTGTCTCAGACCCCCGGCTGGGTGCAGGTAAATAAGGATCATACAGGTCGTTTTTGCTTAGTCGATAACCGTAACATGAGCGATGCGAATGGGATTCGTTGACGCGTTTTACTTGGAAATTATTTTGGCCACGCTTTGTTGTTATGTGTCATTATGCTGAAAATAGCCGGCATTTGGGTTACCGGGAGACATTGGTTAAACACAGGCAGCAAAGAACGGCTTGGATATATGAAAACACTAAGCGTTTCAAAGTAATTTCCTGGCAATGTCGAAAAAAGCCGGTAGAATCAATGCTGAGTAAGCCTTTCAAGCAACTCAGTCGATGTTGCCATATAATGCCGCCGCGTAGGCCCGTGCGACTTTGTGACGTCATCGCCTAACGTTTATGAACCGCCTGTCCGACCAATTTCTCAGGACCCCTGAAGTAACCAATTCTTTTCTTTTCGGGCATCTTCAATCCGTTTCCCGCATTGCCCTCAAAGCCAAATTTTGCATGTTCTCGTGCGCAATCAAACAATGTGCATCAACCCTAAAAGGCTTTGACAGCCTTGAACGTGCATTCACTTTTATTACGCTTCAGCAATAGTGCCTTCCATTAGGTTTTCAAAGAGGAAATTCCTGCGTGTACATCTGACACAAAAAACCTCCCGCGTATCGTAACGGGTGCAGGGTGCATGGGTGCAGGAATTCTCGGTATTATCCAGGATGCAACTAGCGTAAACCTTATGACAACGCAGGGTGATATATCTCTTTACCCAACTTTTCCCTCTCGTAAGTGATTTATCACCCCATTGATTGCGATTCTTTAACTAATGTGTCATGAGAGATTTGCAGCTCCGACGCTCGGTTCAAGCCCTAAAAACAAACACGAAAAAGGTCCGGTATATGCCGAGGTCTAAAAGGATTAAATTGACCCGTACGGGACTCCGGTGCAGTTCGGCGCCAAAAATGTCGCTCAGGTCGCTCACTAATGTAAAGCAATCGACCCTTTTTCATTGCTTGTTTCATTTTCTTGCCATAAGCATTCATGATTATACAAACTGCTTATTGCAATGCTTTTCCAGGGTCCTTTATGCTATTCACCGCTTCACTCCGTGAATATCTTTTCTTCACCACGACCAAGTAGACGCCCCGCAACACCCCCATAGATATGGGAAGCCATTCAGCACCTTAGAAAGAGCACCGACCTTCAGTCGCCAAGCCTATTGCACTGCTTATTGCAATGCCTTTCCAGAGTCCTTTATGCCATTCACCGCTTTGCTCCGTGAATATCTTTTCTTCACCACGACCAAGTAGACGCCCCGCAACACCCCCATAGATATGGGAAGCCATTCAGCACCTTAGAAAGAGCACCGACCTTCAGTCGCCAAGCCTAGCCCTGGTACCTAGCTCAGATCAGGGAAACCCGTCCTATTTCCCGCGGCTGTCGAAGCAAAGCCTCCAGACGAATCGCATAATGTGCGTTTCGAGATACCATGGCGCCAAATAAGGTTCGTCAGGGGCAAGGCAGGTCCCGCAAACTTAAGGCGGTGGATATTTTGGGTAATTCATTTCCGTCTAGCGTCCGCTTGCTGACCGGTGCTAAATTCCCAGAAAGCTGGGGTGCTTAGTCTTTGCCGCACACCTTTTCAGCCTCTGCGCTCCCGCGTTTGGGTGCGGATGGATGTCTTCCACCGTTCCACATTACAATTGTCTCACCGCCGGCCAGCATGACTGCGCGCTGCCGCGTTATTGACTCTGTGGAAGTGACACGCCAACGACAACAAATAGCGACCTAAGCAGCCGCGGAATCCAGATGGCTGCTGTGCCGATAGCGGGGCCGCGGTATTGCTGTTTGTGCTCGGAGAGCTGGTCGTGTAACCACGGCGCTGACTGTAAAGGTGTGGGACGCCAGATCCTGGTGCATATACAGGGGAAGATGGGGCGAGCCCAACACTCTGAGCTGTGACGTGACCTCCGTGGATCTTATTTCAATGCCGTTTTTTATTTTAAAAGCTTGTTGGTTGTGCAATTCAGACATTTTCGTCCATTATTGAAAAAAAAAATGGAATCTCCGGGGTGCCCGATATTTTTTTTACCAGCCCAGTCGTTTCGCAATCATTTGAATATGCTAACTGCGTAAAATCTTTACCAGCATCCCCTCCATCCCCTCCTGCCCAAGCTGGCAGCATAAGCGCATAGTTATTTAATATTTCAGACGCGGTAATTTTTTCTGTCATTCCAGCTCAGTTTTCTAGGGCGCACCCACCCCTTATCACCAAACCATGGCGAGGTGAGTTCGCTATCGAGTCGCTTTAGGCGCTCGCTATTCACCGCTGACTGAGATGGCCTGCGGCTGGTGACAGCCGCCGCACTGAAGGTCAGGTGACGTCAGAAGGCAGGACAGGCCGTGTCGACAATTGTGGCACGTTCAGCTTTCGCCGCAGAATTCGTCAGTTGAGCCGAAACGCCACGATCGGATTGTGCGGTCAAGGTTTATGCAACGCCGTTGCTGAACGTGGGCGCCGGTCCCAGAAATATATCCAACAAAATGTCCGAACTAAGCCCTAAAAAGTTGAATTTCGCAACCAGAGTGTGAAAGGCCTAGATTGATGCGAAGTTATGACAAAGGAACCACGAATACGTTGTGTTCATGCTCGTTTAGATTGTGATAGATCAAATTTTGTTGTGTTCATTTTGATGAACTGCTGCGACTGCAGGGGAGGTGAGACATATTTTCAAAATGCGGCGAATCCGGCTTCCAGAACCACTTGAAAAGGTAATACTCAAAGGCTGACACACCGAAACCATCTGTTCCTGTCACTGGAAAGGTAAACCATTCGCCTCGACGTGGCCGAATCACCGAAAGTAAATGCGCGCGAAATATCTTGATAATGAATGTCGTGACCCATGGCTCCAAAAGACTCAAAATCGTCCATGTTTGGCTGCTGACGTGCCACTAAATCACGACCACCACCGTTTGGAAATTTTTTGGCCTTGTTGAGCCGTGGATTTTTTTCGTACAGCCCACTTTCTTCCGCGACCCATATGTTCTATAAGCTTTTGCCTCGGGTAAATGGACAACGTCGTGTCGAACAAGGTGCATGTTTACAATCGTAGCACAGAAAGACAAGCATTAAGCGTGTTAGCAATCTCTCTCAAGCGTGTCGGCATTTTGTTATTTTCTTAAAAGGGAGGTGCACACTTCTCCTAGTCCCCTTCCCCTCGCTCAGTCGGTTAAAGCGTCCCAGCGTGCTCTTGGCGCGGTGAGACGGATTCGGACCGGTTACGTGCTCGCTATATACTTCTGACTGGAACCACCTGTGGCAACGACCGTTCAAGTTCAGGTGAGCTCAAAGGGTGGGGTGGGGCGGGGCGTGTCGGGCATTGCGGCACATACAATCACGCCACCTTTATAGAGCGCCAGCGACCGTAATTACCATGTTAGCGCTCAGGGGACATAGCGAAACCGGGATTCGAGCACATGCCTCACGCCTCATGTGGGAGCCGAAAGCGCTAAGCACCCGGCCATCACGCCCCCTCTGGTGTAGTCGTGAAGCCGTAGGTCTGTGAAACAAGAAGCAAGGGATTTAATTCCCCAGGATAGGACAGGACAAAATGTCGGCCTCCAAAACTCATCAGATATGTCACGCTTTTGCCACGAAGTGCTCTAAAATAAGCTATTCGGTACAAAGTCGTTGAGACGTTCTTTCCAAGTCCATAACTGTGTCATTTTTTGCAAGCTTATGATCATCTGGATGGAATTTCGCCAAGTTACTCGTTTTTCATGCTTGGATCCGCTCTTTCTGGTTCAACTTCGGGTATTTTCTGCGTATATTGCTCTAGCAAGAGCAGTCCAGCTGGGAGAATGCTGTGATTCGCTACCGACATAACCGTGTCGTCTCCTTTGAAACGCGTGCTGCCAGTCATGTTCGTGTTTTCGCTTTCAGCCATTGTGCCACGGCGTTTTTTGACGAGCAAATCAGCGTATCGTGGAAGGAAGCGTGGAGAATGTGACATGCATTTCGGCCTTGTTCGACCTGCACACACCCCACTCACGCAGCGGCACTCAGCAGGCGGTACCAGCCGCTGCCACCGGCGCCGCCGGCGCCGCCGCTCCGGACCCCGCCGGACCGGCCTCGCTGCCGGGTCACGTGACCGGGCCGGCCCCGGCTCCAGGGCTAGCATGGGAAAGTAGCCGGCACGGCCGGCGGCCGGCGAGCGTCTGCCGCCACTCTGCCGTCGAGACCGGGCCGTCATGGAGCTGCCCGCTCGTCTGCTGCTGGCCGTCGGCCTCCTCCACATCGCAGGTGAGCGCGCCGACGACCCCGACGGCGGCGGCGGCGGGGTCGGCGATCGGCACGTCCCCCCCGGCGCTGGAACGCGCTGCCGGCACGTCCCCCCGGCGCTGGAATGTGCCGACAGCGCGTGGGATGCTGTCCGCCTGGCTGCTGTTCCGGGAGAGACGCGGGGTGCGCGAGCACCCCTTCTGGCCGCCGCTGGGGAACCGGTTCCGTGCCGGTCGCCGTTGAGCCGCGGCATTAGGTAACCGCCGCTGTCCGCTGTGCAATCGGGGTTTAGAAAGGCGCGCAGGTCTGGAGGCCGCCTGGTCCGGTGGCCGTCGACGGGCGGTCGGCTGGACTGGCCCCCCGAGCGGGGGTGGCGCGAGCTGACCACTGCCCCCAAATCAGGGGTGGTGCGCGAGCGGCAGCCGTAGGAGCAGACACGGTGGGAGTCTCGCCCGTTCAGGCAGACGAGGGAAGGTTCAGCGCTGAGACTTGTTCAGCTGGTCAGGGACTGTGCAGTGCTGACGATATGTCTAGCTGTTCAATGATGGTGGAAGGGAAGAAGGCTACAGAAGAGGGACGCTATGTATGGCCACGGTGATGTCCCGTTGGTAAGAGTTTGGTCGCTGCAAGGCGATGCCCGCCTAGTCTTGTTCACGCAACATCGGTGTACGGTGTGCACGGATGGATAGATGCCGGGACCGACTGTGTGGCACACGGCGGGTACTGGCGGAAAAGTGGGCACAATGAACACGTGGCACTCAGAGGTTAGCTGTAACGTGGAGTACTGTCCCGGACCGAGGTCATGTTCTGCCGCTCACTGTCTGTGCTGAGAGCTTGAAACGCACCCCGGTAGGCGAACAGCTGTTCGACGCACCGTAGACAATGATGCACAGCCCACGGGTGCAGTCGGTCGCCCGACGACAGAATCGTGATGTTGGTCGGTACTCGGGTGCAGTCGCCTGGCAGCGAAATCGTGATGTTGGTCGGTGCTCGGGTGCAGTCGCCTGGCAGCGAAATCGTGATGTTGGTCGGTGCTCGGGTGCAGTCGCCTGGCAGCGGAATCGTGATGTCGGTCGGTGCTCGGGTGCAGTTACCCAACAGCGGAGTCGTGGCGTTGGTCGGCGCTCGGGTGCAGTCGCCCAACGGAGGAGTCGTGGTGTTGGTCGGTGCTCGGGTGCAGCCGTCTGACTGTGGAATCAACATAGTGATCCAATGGTACGACTCAGTCCCCCGTCAGCGGAATCGAACATTGATCCATGAGCCCGGTCCATTCACGCTTGAAAAGGACGGCGGTGGTGGTCGTTGGGTCCGGTCCTGCTGCCTCCAGTAGGACCGCGGTGGCGACAGGCCGGGCGCAGTGGTTCGTCCGCAGAACGGGAGTGGTGGTCCTCGGGTCCCGCTTAGTGTCTCATCGGAGGGATCAGAATCTCGATCCAGGCATGGTGGTCCTCGGGTCCCGCTTAGTGTCTCATCGGAGGGATCAGAATCTCGATCCAGGCATGGTGGTCCTCGGGTCCCGCTTAGTGTCTCATCGGAGGGATCAGAATCTTGATCCAGGCATGGTGGTCCTCGGGTCCCGCTTAGTGTCTCATCGGAGGGATCAGAATCTTGATCCAGGCATGGTGGTCCTCGGGTCCCGCTTAGTGTCTCATCGGAGGGATCAGAATCTTGATCCAGGCATGGTGGTCCTCGGGTCCCGCTTAGTGTCTCGTTGGAGGGATCAGAATCTCCATCCAGGAATTCGGTTCAATGCCCCGTGGGCGGCATCCGGACGGTGATCCAGGGGTCCCCGCGGTTACGAACCGGACCCACCGAGGTCATCCTCTCGCTACGACTGGCTGAAACAGCCGGTCGGGTGATACCGTGTCATTGGAACCACGTCCATCAACCAGACCGTCTCCCACACGAAGTTCTCAACTGAACGGCGAGCAACGCCCTGTGCGCCAACGCACCAGCCTGCCCCATAGCTTCAAAGGCGCGAGCACGCACAGGTCACGGATGTGGACACGATGCACCGCCTGAGCAAGAAGACTGAGCTGAGGTCGCTCAGCATGGGGGCCCTTAGCCTGATGGGCCGAATGTTGTTCTAGAAGCGGCGCCGAGTCTGCCTGACTTGTCTTCCATGGATGTACGCAGCTGGAAATAATGCATGCCAACAGCAAGCGCCTGTGTCAGTGTGTCATCCATAGGCAGCTTGTGAAAAGCTGAGGTAAATACCTGCCGCAGAAAGGTTTTTCGTGGAAGGCACACCTGCATGCAAGCCGACATAAGGCGAAATGGGTGGTGAATGGGTCTACTTTGTGCTTGGAGCGAAAATGGTCGCATGGGCTACGAGGTACCAGATTTGTGCCTGACTTCCCTGAAGCGAGGTCATGGCGGACTCTACTCTCACGGTGAGCGGACTGACTCTGACTCCGATTACGAGCAGCGCGACGCGACTCTGAGTCCGCCGCCTCTCAGACTCAGGAAGCCGTTGTTCGATTTTTGCATTGATTCCTATGAAATCGAAGCTGGTGGCGACAGAAATTGACTCCATCCTGGCTCAACATAAATTTAATCTATTTCGGAACCGATTCCATTTCCAGCCTCAGCTCGGCACAAGCTTCCGCGGGTACCGGCGTGCATTAGCGGACGCTTAGTTTCTCCCTTCTTCCTACAGCCTGCTGTATAAGGCCTCTGATATCCCAGCCGCCTGGTGAGTTGTAGCACAAATACTAGTCTGCATCCTGGGACAGTGCTGGTAATAATAGCTCCGCCCGGCTGTCACGGTTAGCAGCTGTGATGCCCCCGTGATGGAATGATTTACAATGCCGCAAGAATCGTGCGATCTTGGCAGAGGCTTGGGATTGCTCGATACATGCAATCTCAGCCTCTGCCAAGATCAAGATCAAGATCAAACGGCTTCGATTTGACTGGCTTGCCCAAGATTGGCCGACTTATACGTTCCGACGCCCTCGACGTGAAAAATGGATTCAGCTTTTCTTAGCCCGTACAAAACTTGGGCACATCGAAAAATAAGGAACAATACGACATTATCGAAACCGTAGAGTATCGTGGGTAACTATGTAGCATGGCATATATGGCACATTTTCCACTGACACTTCCGTCTGTGCTTCTAACTTGATCTGGAACTTAATCAAAGGTGCCATGACTGACAAAGAGAGCGCGATGTGTCCAGAAGCAGCCATTAACAGGTAAGACGCGCTTGTTGGCCAATGTCAGGGTGGCCGTGAGCTGCGAGCCGTGACGTCCGGGTGCTGGATACCTGCGGACCGTGACGCCAGTATCGGGGTCGTCCAGAGACCAGCCGGCGCGGGCCCAGGCGGGGCCGCGCCTCTGGGCCGCACCGCATAGCCGGCTGCAGCGGCTATGCGGCCCTGCATCTACCACGCCCTGCATTATGCCCCGCGCTGTGGCCATTCCAGTAAAGATGGTTAGCAAATGGGACCCTTATACACAGGAAGGAGATGTAAACAGCCATTGACCTGCAATCTCTCGAGCCGATCCGAGCGAGGAAAACATGGTAATGGACAGTGGGTCTTGAGGTCATGACCTTGCGCTCCAAGCGCAGTCTGAAATGGACGTCTATGCATCGCTGCACTCAGGCTCATGCTTCACCACCTACCCACTTGTCTCCGACTGACCTTTTTAAATGCCCTCGATCGCACTTCACCCTCTGCCATCGCAACTCTTTGTCTCGCTGGGAGCACGTGCTGCGGCCGTGGGCCGGGAGCCGGCTTCACGGCTGTCCCGGAAGAGCCCCGCTCGAGCAACATCACTCAGCTCGACTTGGGGCCTTTTAGCCGGATAATACTCGGCGGGGGCTATGGTCCAGGACTGCCAGCACGCGAGCGAAAGCACGCCGCAGCCGTCATCTCTATCCTCAAACTTCGTAGCTCTGAAATAACGTGGCTGGCCGAAAAAACTCCTAGCCATGCCAAAATCTTCCTGCATCGCATCGAACGGCAGCAGCAGCCATCCCTCAACGCATGCCCTTTTTCTGTCGAATAACACAACCAAATTATTCAACTGTCGAACTGATCAGCTGGTCCCATCAGTTGATTGTAGCCGCGCGGCGTCGACGTGTTTAAAGGGAGTGTTCCACATTTATGTGGGGTTGAGAGCTGAAATAGTCATCTTAAAGACCTTTCGGTGCTGTTCAAAATCCTGCCCTTCATATGACTTGATCCCCCCTAGTTTCTGAGCTACGCGCCCGCGAAGATTGGGAAAGGTGTATCGGGGAGAGTACTTTGAAGCCACCTTGGCATTCATAACGTCATAATAACGTCATTCAAATTCTATCATTCCATGAGCCATGCGGCGATCAAGGTCAGGAAAATATAATTGTCGAGGCGCTCATATCTGGCGTTCGTAAGCGCGATTTCCAGATATAACGGCCGTCATTCGACTTTAAATCAATGTTGTGCGGTGTACGATGACGTATATAAAGCGGGACGCATCGAGGGGCATATTTACTGAACAAAAAGTTTTGCTATCTTTTTATATTTTTCTGGCAGTTTTTCCACGTAAGAAATATACCAGTAGTTACAAGTGACCTTGTTTTATCTTATCTGGCGCTTGCTTCAATATCGTAAAATGTGACAAATTCCCTCTTACTATGCAGCGCCGTCGGCTTACCGGTCAGCTGCTGGGTTATATCGCGAAGAGGTGGCTCTATGACGCTGGGCCCAGCCGCGCTACGTGTCCGATGCGAGTGCGTTACGAACTAGGGTCGCATTATTTGTGCGTTATGCTCCTCAATTGAATCAATCAGCCTGCCTTGGTTACGGCTTCAGAAGCGAATGTAATTTGAGTAGCTGCTTTGGGCCGCGCTGACTCGCTGCATCTCCACGATGGCCGCCAACGCGGGTGAATGGAGGTTACCGGGGAGGCCGGCTTGCAGTGGGCCGGCGGCCGGTTTGCCCCGCCAAGGTCGCGCGGCGGGGTCAGCTCGCTTGAACCTTGGTCCAGATGATGTGCTGTAAGGTTTTTCTAGCCCTGCGCGGTCTGATGCATCAGTA